ACGCTTTGAACCCAACAATACATGAGAATTTAATTTAGCCACTTGATCCAAACAAAATAAATAAATGGACCTGATTCTGATTACACATTTACATGCAGAAGTGATTTAATTATTAACGAGATATAAATGCTTTGCAGAACATACCAGTGAGAATACATACAGGCCGGCCAGAGCGTAAGGTTTCCCGTAAGCCTTGATCAGAACTCGGCTCAGTTTTGGATCCCGGAGCTCTTTTCTCGCTTTCCTGACTTCTCGGGTCCAAATCCTAGTAAAAACAAAAATGGATCGATATTTTATTTAAACAAATACGTCTCCAATAAATGCATGTTCATATAGGAGGCTACAGTGAATACATGTGACTTTATTTGAGGTTATAGAAGAAAGAAATATTCTTTATTGTCTCACAAACAGGAAATTCAGGAAAACATTATTTTTTTCCTTTTTCATCTTTCTGATTGGCTGTCAGTTAAATTTACTCACCTGTTTTGATAGTTAAAGAAAATCAGTGAAGCTGCACACTCTGAATGACTACATCTCTACTTCATCATTCACACAAACTAAACAGCTTAAATATCATCTAATCATCTTTATCATGTGAACCACTTTCAACTCCCTTGTTGCTAAACAAATGTGCTAAAAAAATAAACTGAGATTCACCTCAAATGGCCTTAAGAACAAACAAACTCCAAAGCAGCAAGTATTAGGAGATGATATTTGATAGAGTAGCTCCATCACCACCTCATGCTAAATAAGTTCATTACTCGCAGCTTGTCATTTCTATGCTGATATCGTCCCTGGTGTCAAACACTGGATCTACAAGAAAAACGAGAGCTCACTCTCAATCACTGGCTGTCAAAATGTACATTAAAATGGAAATGTTGGAATTTAACAGACTAATAACTGCCAAGACTCATTGACCCATTTTTCCAAAGACGATACTCCAAACGTCTTGTGGCTGAACTTGTCTCTTCTCTTGGAAACAAATAATTCTGGTTTTCCTTCTTCAAAGTATTCAGTTCACGTCAAATGAAGCTTGAAATGTTTGATGTGACATTACTTGTACGGTGCTTGGAGGTTTGCCTGAGCAGTGCAGATTCTCACCTTCGGGTGAACCTGTGGCGTCTGCCACTCCTGGCAACACTGACTTTTTTTAATTAGTGCAATAAGCAATGGAGCTAATCTTTAGCTCGACTTGCAGTCCAAAGTCTGACAGAACGACAAGCACTAGAAATCCAGCTCACCGTCGATCCCAACGTGGAGCCCAAATGTTTTTGTTGGAGGTACGACTCTTGACCAGAGCCAGGCAAGAAAACTAGCCAAAGATGTTGGTGTGCTAATTTCACAGCTCACAGAATTATTAAACCCTTTTGAACTTTCACATTTCCTCCAGAAAAATGAATAAACTTCACTGCATTTTATTAGCATTTGAGACAAATCAGCGCAAAAACGATTCTGATTCAACAGGAAAAGAGAAAAAGTTTGTTGAAATATCCTCCAAATATCTTGAAACATAAAGCTGGACGCGATAGATACGTGATCGGTATCAATAGATAATTGGTGACGGTCACAGCGCTAAGCTAGGTTGACTCGCTGCCTCTTTGGTTACCTAGCAACCCATTAATTCTTTGGTTACCTAGCAACAACCAGTGAAGTAACTTGCGCAGCAGCAGTTTAAGGTTTTGCTTCTGAACCTAATAATTCATTTCAGATGTTTAAAACAAAAAACCAATCCATAATAACTATTGATCGACTCTTAATCGACTATTTGTTCTCTCTTTAGCTTCTCAAATCAAGGATTTAACAACTCTGCTTGTAGCTCAAAGCTTCAGCTAATGTTTCAGAAGCTAATCCTACTTAAACTTCTTGTTATCTTTCTCGCTGACCCGTCTGCCGTGACGCCATTTGTTCTCTCAAAAAATAATTAATGTGTTACCAGAGCAGCTCAGCTGAAACACAGGGGGATTAAAATAGACCCTGACATGCTACTACTCAGCTATTCTGCTTATTCCTCATATTTAGGCCAAATGGAGACATTTCAATAAGCAACAATACCACTGCTGTACTTTAAACTGATAGAATAAACTGCTTGTGTCACATGATGGATAAATGATTCATCTCACAGGGCATGACAACAGTAGAGTTTAACAGATTCCTATTATAGGAATAGTGCTTCAGGAAGCATGACCTTTGAAAAGCAGCACAGAGATCAGATCTTTACGCAAGCATCCGACTCATCTCTTCTCCTGAATAAGAAAACCCGAAAACTGACTGGAAATGAGAGCTTTGACTTCCTGCGACGAAAAAACATTTCCATGGACATGTATGGCGCAATCGAAGCTTCATTAGTGTGTTGGTAAGTTACATTTCATTCAATGGAGATAACAGATAGGATTAAACACATGTTCACTTCTTCCTCCTCCTTCTGAAACAGAAAAGTAAGCTACGCATGTTTGCTTGTTTTTAAAAACTACTTTGAATTACATAAAAAAATAACGCACTGCAAGCTATAAATAGCAATTATAATTTACCTGAACTGCAAATAATAAAACATTTCAAACAACAGATTTCTGCCAAGATCAACTTTCAGAGCCTCAGAGTTTGAAGAGTGAAACTAATCCAGATTAAACCTGACTGGATCTTCCAGATGAGGTGGAAACTCTGCTTCCATTTTGGACCCACCCAAAACTGTCCAGACGTTCAGAACCGACTCAGTCGCTTGTATTCATGAGTGAAGGAACCGGGTGTGTGTACCTCTGCAGATCTTCTCCCAGGTTTTCGGAGCGATCCTCTGGCAGAACGCCGTACATGTCGTTCTCGTCGAGTCGCTGCTTGTGACCGCGGTGCATCAGCGGCGTCAACCAACTGAACCAGAACCACAAAGAGTCCAAATCAACCCAAACCACCAAACCATCTGCAACCAACCGATTCTTATATTCCTCTGCATTCGGCACATCTTTCTTTTAATCTCGTAAGTTTGTGTTCTACAGTATTAGAAATACACTAAAAAGGCAAATAAACAAACTAATTCCTCATTTTCAATAACAAATAAACCGTTTTATTGCCTAAAATGCCATAAAAACTTGAACTTTTTACTCCAGTTAACAATAAATTACTGAATTAGTTGATATTCCAATAATCTACAAACATGGAGATGCAGCATTCAGCTTCTACGTACCACTAATGTGGAACAAAGAAAACTGTAAAACTGCTGAAACACTGACTTCCTTCGACTCAAGGCCTGTTTAGAGCTGCGTTTGATTGAGAATAAATGGAATACTAACCAACATATTTGAGATTTACTGTGGTTTTTAATTATCTTATTTCACAAAATGTTACGTTTTGTTATCGTTTCTCACAATTGCTGACTGTGAGATGTTTTTATTTGAATGTTTTTATGATGTAAAGCACTTTGAAATGTAATCTGATCCTTTCAGATGCAGCTTTTATGAGTTTAGAAACCAGAAACTTTTAACAAATATTATCTGACAATTTTTCAGAGAAACGAAGCAAAAAAAAAAAATCTAAACAAAGTTAAATAGTAACTGTGGGAGCAGGAGAGTAAAATGAAACACAAAAGTAGAAAATATAAAAGTTTGTAAAAATTCCTCTTTAGAAAAGTAGCAAAAATGTTTAAGGTAAATCAAGTTATTTATGACTTTTTTCTTTTACAATCAAATCTCAGATCGTCTGAGTCTCATATTACAATTTACCAAAATATGCTGAGAAACAAATGGGAAAAAAATGGAAACAAGTTGAGTCATTTTTAAACGGATCCAATTCGGTTCAATCAATAGATTCAAAGTGCTTAATAAGCAATAATCTTCTAAATTTGCCTCTGCGTGTTTGACGGATCCTCCAGCAGCTGTCAGTCCTACAGGCTTGTTTTTAGGCAGAACCAAAACCGGTCCACGCAGCGACGCGTCCTACCAGAGGAACAGCCTGGAGATCAGGCTGGCGGCGGCCAGCGGGTTCCTCCTGCCTCCGTCCTCCTGGGTCTCCATGCTCCGACTGGCATCGGCTCGGCTGCAGTCCGAACCTGGGGCGAACCGCTGACAGGACGCGCAGGCGGAGACTCAGCAGCCTATAGGCTGCGGCTGCGGCTGCGCAGGCATTTGCTGCGCAAATTGCGCAGGAAAAACTGGAAAGGGAAAGTCAGGTTGTTTACCTCGGATAATTAACGTCACTGTCGCTCGTTTCTTCGTGTTTACATATTTCTTATCATGTGACCCGAGTCCAGCCAATGACAGCTGTCGTGACAATCACATGAAAAAAGCTTCACCGTTTTTAAAACGAGACTTCAGGCTGAAACAGGAAGACCTGACACGAGACGCATCCAAATGACAAAATAACCATGTAAAAGGATTTGGCAGAATTTCTACTCACTATTGATTGATAGTGCATCGATCAAAGCTTCTTTTAGCAAATGTGATAACCAGAAGCATCTAAACAACATTAGATATTCAGTTACTACACAATAAGAACCACAAGCAGTCAGATGTTGGCCATTCTGACATTTGAAAAAGTCAATAGAGAAAATAATTTAAAAAATGCTGTTTGTCTCTCTTTCCTTTTGATGACAGTATCTAACAGACGAGCTACAAATCCGGTCCTTCAACACTTTTAACTTTCTTCTTATTTTACAGTAAAATCATTTAACAGACATGTTTACACTGTGAGGTTGATGTAATTACTACAATTATTAACTTTAGGACCCAAAAGGCTCTTGTAATAAAACATATTGTAGCTAATTTATAGCACATGATCTGCATGTGCAGATTAGATTATCTACAGAAAACCAGCTGACCAAACATGCTGGAGCACCACTGGGGTTGCTAGGTAACAAGGAGTGCCTAAAAACCTTTTTTTAGTGCTTCATCACTACGATGCGCTTCATTAAGAGCCACATGGATACATAAACGCTTTATTATTACTTTTTACCTCTAACATGTTAAAATCCTGGATCCTTTTCTGTTTTAGGACTTGGGAACGTTGATTGCTCTCCGCCAGTGAGACGTTTGTTGCATTCAGTCGCATGGTAAAGATCTGGCTCACACATCATCAAAGCTTCAGCTCAACAACTCTCCACTTCTGGACTGTGATCTCACCTTGTAAATCTGAGGCCCTGCAGAGAATCCCATCGTAAAAGAGCCGCTCCTGACTGAAGGCATTGATAAACTTTACACCACCTCATGTATCCACATCACTTTGGTTCTGGTTTTGGTTGAGAGAGGAAAACCCTGTTCTGCAAAACCAACTTCTGAGAATAAAACAAGAGCTAATTGTAACATCACTACAGGATGTACAGATCGCCATGACTGCTTCAGCTGTGCAAATACCTGCAGCCTGACGTGAGGAAGCCAGGAGTGATTACAGCAGATGTGTTGTGACACATGGAGCTCTGTGACTTTAAGACGTCTTGATGAGCTCAAACCGAAATTCCTGCAGAGTAGATTCTGTCCTAACAAGTTATTACATACGAGACGCTCCGAGACGCCGCGTTCCTCTGGGGAATCGTCTCCTCCAGCTGAAAAACACAAACGTTAAGAGAACGGTTTAATTTCTGACATTAGCAGGAATCAGATTCACTTTAACGTTTCATTTACTCTCTGGCAGGAGCAGGAATCTGTAAATGAGTCTATTGTAGAAATCTAGTTTTTACTGGCTAAAGAATTCAGTTTATTTCATTAGGATTTTGTGTGACAGAATCTAAAAACATTTTTTAATTTTTCCTAAACTGCTGATCGAAGAGAAGAAAATATCAAAACCTGGATGATAAAACTCTTCAGTTTGCTGTTTTGGTCCCAACTCAACCTTTTTCTGAAGGACCATTTTATTTACAGAGACTTCATAAATCACTGCATTTATTGTTTTATTTATCTACATCTACATTTAACATGTATTCCAATTCCAGTGTTAAATGTTCATAAGAATCTAAAGTTTATCTAGAATGTCTTATTGCATTAAATTACCTGAAAATGATCTCAAAACAAAAACATTATTTATTGTCCTCCTAAATTTAATATTGTCTGTTTATAAGTGAAATAATACACAATATTTACTCAAAACAAACTCCTAAAGCTACTTGTAAGATCATTTTCTCTAATTCCAAATGTAATAAGACATTTGCAGTAGAAACTAAACAAAAATACTTAGTAAAATGTTATTTTTACATTTGATTCAGATGATTCATTTTGTCCTCACAGGAGGAAACGCAGAATATACAGCAACTCTTGCAAAAGTGACTCTTCATATCTTCTTCTACGAAACTTTATGAGTTGAAACTAAACCAAAACAAATGTAACCAGCACACATGTAAAGGTTTAATAGTATTTGAGGACTGGGTTTGACATAGAAACGCCATTTTGAACTTCATTTACCCTCATATTTCTGAGTACAACGAACCGTTTGAGTCTGACTTTGCTTCATCCACATTTAGAAGAACGAAAGATTCCCAGGAAACATGAGAAATTCAAACCGATGAGATCGGCATGTTTTGAATCGGCTGATTTGCGCAACTCTGAAGATTTAGCAGATTTATGATTTGACGACAGCTTGGATGAAGATGTGATTGTGAATTCTGCTTTTGCAGCCAGCAGTTTTGACTGTAGATCATGATGTTTAATTGTTGCTGAAAACACATGGAGTCAAAAAGTTGGACTCCAAATTCACCTACTTGTTATTTCAACATCTTTGGAAAGTTGTTTTCAATCAACTACTTGTTACAAACTTGATATCTTGAATCACATTGTGGAACATTTTAATTTAAATTAAGAGAAACTTTATTTCTTGTTGTTGTGGTCATTATGGTTTACAGAAAATGAAAACCCAAAAATTCAGTTTCACAATGTTACTTTACATTACATTAATAAAAAAAAAAGAAGAGAGATTCAAAACAGAAAAGAAAAGCATTTGAATTTCTATCCACTCCATCGCTGGTTTTACGTGAATTACTGCATCGATGCGGCGTAGCATGGACAAGATCGGACTTGGTTCTGCGTCTGTGTAATTAAAAGTTCCCACAAATCTATAGTGGGGAAACGCAGCCTACTGTGACCAGACCAACAGAAAGTAAATATTTCTGTTGGCACATTTCTTGGCCAATGTGCCACAGAAAGAAAATGGCTGCTGTTGGGATCCACCCGTATGAGACTGAGAATGAAGGTTGAAATGAATTTGTAAAACTCTTCAGGTGAATAACAAGGCTCTCATGATTGGTACATGTAGCAACACACATGGAGGCTACATGTCTGTCTTAGCTAGCAGATAAAAGCTACACTAGCTGAGCTAATTTTGCTAATTCGACAAAAAGTCACTGCTATTTATCTGAGTAATACATAGAAGTGAGTACTCAAAAACTATGATTGTCTAACAGTCGTGATGTACTTTTATTGTTTGTAAGTTAGACAGGAACGAAGTGAGAGCTAGCGCTAAGCTTGTGCCTACTAAGATGGCTGCCACTTAAAACGTTCCCAGAAGTGTGATGTCACGCAAGAATTATGCATTAAAGTCCAGATTTCTTTGACAACGGCCTTCAGGTCCTCTGCGTTGCTCCTGTTGATAATACTTCTATGGTGAGATCAATCAACCGATCAATCAATTAACCGAGAGGTGATTGAAGCAGCTGTTGGTGTCTTGTGCAGTGTGGGCCTGCTGGAAAATTAAATCAGCGACTCCGTAAAGTTTCTCAGCAGAAGGAAGCCTGGAGAGCTCTGGGAAGTCCTGCTGGTTGACTGTGGACTTCAGAAAACCCAGTGGACCAGAACCAGCAGATGATCTGGCACCCAGTCCGTCACCGACTGTGGAAACATTTGGCTTCCAGCTCTTGATTAGTTGATTCCAGATGAAGCTTCTTGGATGATGTCACATTTTCTGTCTTTTTTAACCACACTTTTTTCTTCCACTCAACTTTCTTTAATAAGACGGATGTCAGCACTTTGTGAAGAACGAGCTTCTTTAGCAACAAACCTTTTCGACGGCTACAAGAGAAAAGCCATCGCTATATATATATATATATATATATATATATATATATATATATATATATATATATATATATATATATATATATATATATATATATATATAATATCTGGTAATGGCGAACCAACCAGACATTGTCGTAGTGGATAAACATCAGAGGAAAGCCGTTGTGGTAGATGTAGCAATATCAAGTGATTGCAACATCAGGAAAAAGGAGCACGAGAAACTGGAGAAATACCAGGGCCTCAGGGAAAATGGAGAGGGCCTGGAAGGTGAAGACCACAGTGGTGCCTGTGGTCATCGGGGCCCTCGGGGCAGTAACCCCCAAACTGGAGCAGTGGCTACAACAGATCCCAGGAACAACATCAGACATCTCAGTCCAGAAATGTGCAGTCCTTGGCACAGCCAAGATACTGCGCAGACCCTCAAGCTCCCAGGCCTCTGGTAGAGGACCCGAGCTCAGAGGATAAGAACCACCCGCGGTGGGTGAGAAGGGAATTTTTTCTCTGAAGAATCTGAATTAATACGAATTACATTTAATTTCCTTTTAGGATCACTAAATGTTATTTTAAATCCCAAACTGTTCTGCAAATTACGCATATTGCAAATCCATCTACATATGTCTTAAAACTGATGGGTTGTGTTGCTATTATTTATGTCCCAAGTCATTAACAGCAGAATAAAAACAGAATAAAGTTGGGATAAAATGTGATTTTCAACACTTTTTGCTGCATTAAAAGCATTTCCAACCTGAGGTGTTAATGAATTATTTTATTAGAAAGCAAATGCATCTCTATTTAAATGAACATTAAAGCTATAAGTTCCAGAGAACCTCCACTAGAGGGCGCTCATTGCTAATTTATAAACAATTAATACTCTTGTTACCATTTTTCCCTCAAACGTTGTTAAAAATACAAGCTTTAAAATGAAGTAGAGGTGGAAACTAAGCAAAAAAATCATGATTTTTAACAATAAACAGTTTGTTAATTATCACTATAATCCTGAAAGAAGTGAAAACATTTTCCCATCTATTGGAGATGTAAATAAAAATACCTGCCGTGTGAAGGATTTACGCCGACATCTCTGTCCAGATGAAGCTTTGCGCGTCGGTCCGTCAGCCGCAGCATCCGGGGCCACAGCTGCTGATGCGTCTTGTTTACACCAGGGGCCCAAGATTTGTGTGACCTAGTTGCTGAAAAAGCCCAGGAGGCAGAGAAACCCGAACTGCGAAAACATGAGTTTACAAAGATTTAAAACACGTAAAGACCAAATGAACGCTTCAGAAAACAACACTTGTTGTTTTAAAACACATTCATCAGTAATATATTATACAGTTTTCACTGTGCATCGTTTTAAGCAGTTATGAATGAAGCTCATCACCAACGACAACAAGTCAGAGAAGAAAATATTTTAAATAAACAAAAAATTCCAAATATATTCCCAAGTGGATTCTTGATCATAAAACTCATGCAACAGTTGTAGGAAGGATCAGTTTTGACTTTTACTGATCTCACACAAGGCCAGCAAATTACTAAAAGGTTACAAATATACCAGGAAAGTTGAGTGGAAGGAAAACACAAAAATTTTCTGAAGCAAAACCAGAGTTTCAAGCAAAATTTGAGACCAGAAATGTCATTTGTTTTACAAGTAAATAAGATTCTGACAGTATTAGAAATAATTTATTAAGATGGGAAAGTAAATATATTCATTTACTTTTGTATTTTGTTGGGCGTTTCTTCGTTCCTATGATTAATTACATCAGTGGATGGAAAGGATTTTTAAACCATAATGTTCTTTTTTATATTGTACAGCAAGTTTTCCATGTTTATTCTTCAAGTCCAGAGTCCGGGCAACCTTTGACCCTTTCACTGACAACATGTCCGACACATGGAGTGGAAAATACCAGGAAGTGATTCAGCTACTGTGATTGGCTGCTTGAGTCTTTGTTGTCATTGTGCGATAAACTGAGCAGCTCCTCGATCTTCTCCAGGTCCTTATTGGTTTCTTCTGGCTGAACGCTGACGTTCAAAGTGTCGATCAGCTCATCGGTCAGCTGCAGGCGGGCCGACCTGATCGGACCAGCGCAGAAAACAGGCTTAGGGCTTCAGACGCGTGTGAAGTCGACCCACTGGGCCTGAGAGAAACACAAGGGTGAAAATATTTTCCTTACCATTCTGCTAGTTTGAGGTCGTAAAGCTCTCTGCGTTCTCGCTGTCTCCGCTCTCTGAAGGTTTCTCCTGTCAGAAGCTGCAAGCCGATGATCATGGCGCCTGCAGGAATCCTGTGGAGAGAAGCATTTCATCAAAAATATGGTGAATAATGATGTGGTCCTAAAAGGAAACTCAGTGGAAAGGGAAGAAAATTGTTGCTTTTTATTTTATCAAAATGTTACACATGTCAAACAAAAACTGGGTCTCTTTAAGAACTCATCACATAACCCTTTAAATATTTTTTTGATTTTATTTTTTTACCAGCACTCCTCATATAACAAGCTCAGCTAACACCAGATGTTTGCTAATTGCTGCTGGCTAGTCTGAAGGAGCTGAGTGGAGGAGGAGCTGCGCCTCGAAGGCGGGCTAAGTCTAACCAGGCCTTTCACAGCTGAATGGTTGCCATAAAGATTAAAGGTTTCTCAAACATGCATGAAAGAATCAAACACTCTAGGAATTAACATTGCAGCATGATGTAAAATGAAATTAGTTTATACGTTACCGTCCCTTTAAGGGAAACATTTTACTGTTTCTTTTCCATTTAAACCAAAACAATGTAAAATCGCATTTCAAAACAATGAATTTGAAATGAACGTTTCATTATAAGAGTATCTAAACACCCAGACTTCTCTTTCCTCCTCTCTGGCTTCGCCACCACTGATGTCGGGAGCTTTAGCGGAGCTCTGGAGCGTGATGCCACGCGCTCGGCTCCCTCCCATCTCTCCTCAGCTCGTTTCCACCTCACCTACTTCACATCAAACGCTCCAGGTGGCTGCCCGCTGAGCCACAGAGAGCGCAGGACGCAGCGGGCCAGAGCCAACACAACAATAACTACAAACAATCCGTCCTCAGGTTAGACCTTTATATCACAACCTGCTTCAACCTGAGTGAAGTCAGCAACAAAAAAGTAAATCAGAAGATGGGAGTGAAGGAGGATCGGCTAATGGTGTCCATGTTGAGGGGGCAGATGATGCTTTGGCTCCCGTTTTTTACTCTCGTAACCAAAAAAACACGGCCAACTGCAGTGCAGATGAGTCCCTCTGGCAGAGGGAGCAGAGATGGAGGCAAAGGTGCAGCTGGGCAGCAGAGGGCTGCCGTGGGGCGCAGCTGGCTGCCAGAGCGCCGTCTGCTCTCAAGCAAGAGTGGAAAAACGACAAGCGAGCGCGGGGAAATAAACACTACAAGTATTTGTCTAAGAACGACACAGATTTGCGGCATTGCTGTTAAATAAGAGATTAAATTAAACGTGATAAGTTCTTAAAAATAACGAAAGTGTCGAATATAAACAGTTGTATGACATTTTCAGAGGAAACATTGAGGTGCTGGAGTGACAAACGTTTTGGGGAAATTATAGTCAGCCATTTTACAGAAGAGCACTGGATTCTACTCCACTTTTTATAAATTGTGACAAAAAGTTTCAACCACTTCCTGTCATCTTCTTTGTCGTTTCTGCCAGTAGAAACATCCTGGTGTTAATCACATGGCTTGTGTATGCCCAAAAAAAAGTTTCAATCACAGTTTTGTGACATTCATCTATTATGATGCAACTAAATTCTCAAAAACCTTTAGAATAAACTAGGACATCATATATTTTATTGATCTCAAGGGGAAATTGCTACATAGTGCAGAGAAGATTTAAGTTGCTCTGAGATGGGCGCTGTAAAGTTAGGTTTTTGGGTTTTTCACCAATTAGTGCACACAGAACAAATATTACCCGAGCACGGCGCCGATGACGCTCCCAGCCAGCAGGCCTCTCAGGCCCAGGTTGAGCCTGAACAGGCCGACCGTGACAGCTGCACACAGACAGAGAGAGAGTTTCACCATCAGTCACCGCTTCTTCTACCTAAACGCTCTGTGACGTTCAAACTGATTTTAATATGAAGTTATGTAACAGCGGAAGGCTTCATTTGGACGTCAGGTGAGATAAACCAAGCAACTCACCTCCAGCTGCAACATAATTACTGACAGCGTCTTTGTTTCTGTACACAGACAGGCCGGTGCTGACGGAGCTGTAGCAGGAACAAAACGTCAGTTATAAACTATCACTTAATTAGTTTTCCTCATTATTTATCACACGTCATCTTGGCAAAACATTTCCCACTCTTGAATTTTTCAATATTTTGTCGTAATACAACAGAAATGCATTTTACTGAAATTTTTATGCAGCGGTTTTGCAGCAAAAGGGTGAAATATGTAGATAAATGGCTTGTAATTTTTATTACAATTGTCCCAAAAGTTTTTGCCATAAACAATGATACCGTCATTATTTTCAGATAATATAACTCTAATAATAACTATGTGAAAACAGATTCTTAAAGATCAATAAGCTTTAAACTCTAATGAATATAAAGACATATTTTTAGAGAAACAAATGTCTTCAGATACTTTAATTGTTCTAGTTTGACTTTTTATTTCAACCAGCAAACATTTACTATCTACATAATTAACATAATTGTTCTGTTTTTTTTTTTTCATAAAATACACTAAAGTTTGTGAAAATCACAACTTTTTCAAGGCAGATTTTAATAAAGCGGAGCTGAAAAGGGGAAGAGTCCTGCAGGAAGTCATTTAAAATCCATCTCCTTCTTTGTGAATTCACCCTCAGGTGTCATGAAATGATCCACTTATTCTGCTCACCTGAACAAAGTGACTATGACAGAAACTCTCCAGCTCCATCTCCAGCCGTACCGTACAAAACCTCGGATCGCCGCGTTGTGAGCGGAGCGCTAAGAGGAAACGACAACGATGCTTTCATTTAATACCCGTCAGTGCAACAATCAGAGATTAGGACGTCTTAAAAATACACTTTCTTATTAGTCTTACAGCAACTTTCTGGCAACATTATGTGAGAAAGTTGAGAAATTCATAGCATCTCCCCTAAAGCGTGTTTAGACGATCACAACCGATTAGTCAGGACGGTTCACACTCCGGCGAGGATTCACTTACGACTGCTTCCACGCGACCCGTGTACAGCTCCGCCTGGCTGGTCTGGATGTACCTCTGCCTGGCGAGGCGCGCAGCTGGCAGGCCGCCGTACAGGAAGCCGATGAATGCTCCCAGAATGCCGCACTTCATCACGGTCATCACCTCCTCTGGGGGTCTCTGCCTCTCCCTACAATCAGAAAAGTCCAGAACTGAAACGATCAATCGATTCTTGAAATAATCATCAACTAAACAATTAATCGCTAAACAGAGTATAGATTTAAGCAAGTATTTTGCTTAAAGACAAAAACATATTTATCTGCAAATTGTTTAAATATGGGCAATACTTAAACAATGAGATGTTTCTTTATTTAATGCATTTCTAACATTTTTTACAATGTTTCATGAAAAATCTGCAGCATGTGCAAATTTGTTGTTCTCTGATTAATCATCAGAATAATCAATGACCTTCCACCAGATTTTCACCGAATCTTTTAAAGTCAAAACGTGAAATTTCTCCTCAATATTAAACAAAAGAGTTGAAAGAATCAAGGAATCAAATAAGGAAGGAAAGGTAACATGAAGGACGCAGAAAAGCAGAAAGCAAAGATTGAAAAAAAACAGAGGGAAAGAATGAAAAGACTCAGAAATACCAGAAAGGAAAGGAGAAGACAGAAAGAACATGAGAAACAAAGGAATGAAGGAAGGAAGGAAGCAAGGAAACAAGGAATGAAGGAAGGAAAACTGTGACTTGTACAGCATAGAGCATCAGGATGAGTGATTTTTGAAAGAAGTTATAATCCTGAAGAAGTTTCTTTGTGTTTTTCTGCATATGCTTCTTTGAAAACCCTGATATGATTAATTATTAATTGACAATAAGAGTTTTGTCCATTTAACTAATAATAAACAGAGAATCAAAATAATCAAACTGAGTGAGAAGAGACTGACTCTCGATCAAAGAGGTCCTTGATGCGCTGCCATCCCGAATCTGGAAATTCTGGCTTGCGGATGTTCTTTGGCAGAGAGCCGACTGCAGGACTAGTGGAGGAGGAGGAGGAAGAGGTGGAGGAAGAGGAGGAGGAAGAGGAGGGCATCTGCCCAGCAGCCACATCAGCTGCATCCACCCTGGGGAGCAGAAAGCAGAAGAAGCGAGGCATGGCGGTCTGGACGAAGCCCTGGAACGGGCCGGTGCTCATCGGGCCCCGGAGGCTGGAGTCTGTCTGAGCAGGACGGGGCTCGTTCTCTGGCTGCAGCAGAACCAGAAACACTCAGTTATGCAACGAGAACGAGTTCAATGACAGCAGAAATCATGGAAAATCTTAAATGTATCTAAGCCTCGCGGCAGAAATGGAGAATAAACGGATGTTTTAGAGATTAGTGCTTAATAATGAAGCGTTAAAGTTCTGTGGTTCAATATTATTTGCTCCTTAGTGTGTGCTTACACCGAGAATAACATCACTCTGCTGCACATTTCTCCTAAAATATGCTATTTTATGTTTCTCTATCACATAAAATCCCAGAAAAACTCATTAAGGTTTGCGGTTGTAACTTCAAAACATCAAGAAAAACAAAGTAGATCGTAAACAGTAAAATAAATAACAATTTTATTGTTTAACGTTTTTGATAAGGTTGTGAGAAAATCCGCTCTGTGGTAATAAATTTCCATCAAAAATTGGAACATTTTTCTTATTTCAACATTTTTCTAGAAAAAAAACTAAATTTCTTCAAATAGTTCAAATCTTCAAACTATGAAATTTCCCAATTTTTATCTCAAAATGTCTGAGATTCACCTCAAAGTCAGTTTTTTCTAGAAAAGTTTAAACTTCTGTTTTTACAAGAACATTTCTGGGATTAATTAATTTTGAGGGGTTTTTTTTCTAGCAAATTATCAACTTCAGAAATTCTGAAGCCTTTTATAACAATTTCTAAAGATTGATGTGAAATTTTCAGATTTCTTTTCTAGCAAAATTTCCAATTTTCACTTTCAGAAATGTTTATTTTTTAATAGAAAAGTTTTGGGATTAATCTAATTTTTTTTGAGTTTTTTAAGGTAATTTTAAACTTCTCAAGATCAGAAATTTTCACTTTTTTTAATATAAATTTTTTTGTGTGAAAATGCTTTTGTTTACCTTCATCTCACTACTGGACACTTGAATTTCCCCAATTTGGGAGATTAAATGATATTTCTATTCCACCACTACATAAAATTAAAATGCTAGGATCAAGAAAAATAAATCCACCTTCACTCTAAATATATTTTAAATCTCATTTTGCTACTTCAGTATATTTATTACCTTTGTGTTACTTACATAATTTAGCCAATTGCGCTGCTAAACTACCGGTGAAAGAAGCTAGCTTCCCATTAGCTTCCCGTGAGCTTCATATATGAAGGTTAAGATGCGCCGCGGAGGGATTTAGAAGCAGGAAAATGTGGGTCTTATTTACTGGAGACGTCCGGAAAACACAAACATGAATGACAGTATTTCTCTTCTCACATGAGTCGTTCTGACGGTCATCCAAACATCGACTTCTGAAAGCTCAATGCTGCAGCAGCAACATAACCTCTGACTCGGGCTCAGAACACGTGCAGAGGCCGGAGAGACGCGCCCCCTGGCGGCCGGAGTGCTAAACGAAGCCCTACACAGAGAGAAAGCTGCCAAAATTAAAAATATTGGAGGAGTTTAGTCTAGTTTTTACTTAAACCTTCTTAATAAATTTGCAATCAAACAAAACTCACCTTTAAGCAAGATATAGGAACTTGCGTTCTGTAAATGATCCCATTTTATTCATGAAAAACACCAGTTTTCCCACATTTTTCCCATAAGGGCAATAATTTGCCAGTACTTTTCTCATAAAGATTAAGGAATTGACTTAAACAATCTCCTGTATCTTTCTGAAAAGTTACCTTTGAGTGACTTTTTTTTAATTCAAGTGTATTAAGATATCTAGATGATAATACTCTGTAAGATATTGAGTTTTTTCAAAGGAACCCAGAAAATATGTTTACAATATCCTGTTTAAATAATGTCAATTGAGTTTATTCACTAAAAACAAATCATGAGAAAAAAAAATAGCCATTTGCCTCATTTTCAAATACTCAAAGCTCTGGGGAGCACTTTAAAATGTTTTACAGCCATGATACAACTTTCAAAAAAGAGGGTAGAAAAATATATTTTCAAGTGGTTGAAATTTTATTTCACCTACAAAAAACCAAACAAATAAACAGCAAAAAATGATTTTGAGAAAATCTAAACAGCTATATATATAAATATATCAATAAAAGAAGCAAATTCATGTTGAAAGTTGTTTTCCACATTTTATTGTAATGATAGAAACTTTGAAACCAACCACTGATTATTCTCAGACGATGAGATCAGAGTCTTTACAATGTGAAACAAATTTACAAAAAAAAAGCCCAGCGTGTGTCAAGCTGACAGGACAGAATACTACAACATATAAAATCCTGGTAAGCACCAACCCTGATACTGTTTATTATCAAAAAGAAAAACATAAAATATGTTTTTAAAAAAGCCAAATTTTATCCAAAGATAGAAATGGAAACTATTGCTATGTTTTGGCACTTTGTGTAAAAGGAAACACTATTCTTCAAGTTGTAAAAACCTGCCAACAGCAGCAGCTACATTCATTTGTTAAAATAATCAACAGTCTGCCTGAAATCTTCCATTTTTCCACCTTTACATATTTTTGATCACAAGAAAGAAACGTAACACTGAAGATCAGGACAATGTGAGTCCTGGTGGCGGCAGCATGATGCTGAAAACTGTTTGACTTAAACACTGACAGAACCTCATTGAGATCAACTATTTCCTGTTTACAGTTTGTCTTTGTCCCTAAACTGTGTTTTTGTTTTAACACAGTTTGGGCTGTTGTTCCAGAAATATGCTGCACAAATAAACTTGATTGAAATATCTAGAAGTATTGATTTTGGACAGAAAATGACCTCAAAGATACTGTGGAGCCCTCCAGTGGCCGTTTAGGGAACTGTCTAAACATACTTGAAAGATCTGGACCAAGTTTTGAAACCATGATTTTGCCCCCTAAAAATGAAAATCAACACAAATAAAAATAAAATAAAAACTTCGTACCACAGAAAATACATTCATAATTGTTGATTCTCCTTCGTATCAGTTTAAAGCTCCGTTTTGATGAATTTCTGGACAATGTGTTTGTAGTTGCTCCTCAGTTTGGGTTTGTAGGTGAGCAGCTGGCTGAACTCGGTCAGCAGTTTCTCCCAGTAACACGTAATTTCTCCCATTTGAAGGTGGTTCAGGATGAACTCCTGACCTCTGAGAGGACAAAAGGTGCTCAATATTTTCATTTCTTTAATTAGACCCACATTAACTATTAAACATTTGCGGTTACCTGGAAGCGATCTCTTGTGCGACGGAATCGTTTTCTTTGACAAACTGAAGAAGCTCTCTGTAGACACAGGATATGACATCGCTATTAAAGGGAGTTTCACTGTATTTGTGTCTCTTTTCCCATCAATATCCACAAAATAACGAGGTACCTGACATCAGATAAGTCCTGTTTGACGGGGACAAAGTGGACCCAGGGTTTGAGCTGCGGGTAGAAAAACTCCTGCCACTCGTCGCCCACGTGAAACACCAACGAGCCGCAGAGGAAGAGATGTTTGAGGCGGAAACTCGCCGCCACACCCCGGAAGTTAAATAAATATCTAGCAGAAAACACCAAACCGTCCATTCAGAGAACTAAATTACTTATGATACCATTTATTCTCTTAAAAAGATGCTTACTTGTATTTACAGTGATCGACCAGAGGGATTTCTTTAGCTGGAGGTCTGCCGAGTGTGTCCTGAAAGAGAAACAATTAAAGGGTGAACAGCAGATCTTAACGCAGACGCGTCGGGTTCGGAGTGGCTGCGTGTCGGACCTTTTCGGATCTCCAGGCCTGGTTCTTGGTGTACTCTGCATCCACCAGATCTGGAGCTTCTCTGGACAGGAGGATGAGCGGGTCGCGCTCAGCGCTGGTTCTGCAGAAAGGAAAAAAAACAAAACACAGGATGACTTTTCTTTCTATGTTGAAACTTCACTGGATTTTATTTTATAAAAACAAAAACAAAACTGTTCTGGATTCATTCAAACATGATTTAAATGTAACATCCTGCAAAAACCATGAAGCATCGTCGATGGAAAACCAAATATTTCTCACCTGGAGCCTCTGAAGAATCCTCTGGTCTCTTTCTTCTTCCAAGGCCACTGAGCTGCAGATCTGAAGATCACAAACACTTTTCATGTCACATCTCAGGAAAATGAACAAATAACACAGTTTGCTTCCAAAAACACCAGAATCATTCTGAAGCTGTTTTAATAAGGACATTACTGACACCTAGTGGTCGATTTGAGACAACCGATCTCAAGCAACTTAAAATAAATTAAAATATAATTTATATTTAGTGTATTTTACATAGATGAGGCACGAAAATGAATGTCAATAGACCTGATATGAAGACTTTGATTTTGCTTGTGATAAATTGTCCCAGAAGTTTTTTAAGTTGTTGTTCTGAGACCGTTTTTAAGTAAGATAATGTCATAACAACGAAAGAATGCAGAGTCAAAGATCAATAAACTTTAAATTCTAATCAACATTTAACTCTGAAACTGGACAATATTTAAATATCCAAAATAAAGAAACAAAACACAACATAAAATGAATTAAAATTGCTGTAAACAAAATTGCCCTTTAAAAAAATGGTCTAGTTGAGAGCAAAGCAGCAGATTGAAGACTTTTATCATCCAGTTTTAGGCAGAAAAACAAAAATGACAAATCATAAAATGGAAATTATTGAGTCCTTTTTCAATGATCATGAATAAATGAGTGAATGTTGTGTGAATGACTTAATAAACGCACCAGGATATTTTTACCTTTTATCATTTCAGCAGGACTCCAAAGACATTTTACTCTTTTTTTGCCCAAAATAGTTTTGAGTTTTTTGTATATTTAGAATCTTGAACAGGTCTAAGAGTAAAAATGCATTTGCAAAGTCGCTTTATGTAATTTTATTAGACTAACAAAACAATCTTCATATTAAGTCTAATAGTCAAAATGAAAAGTGTTTATTCCTACTTTTTCAGCTCATCTCTCATCAGATCCCATCTGCCCAGTCCGGTGGGGTATATGGGCCACACGGCGGGCCCGCCTTCCCAAAACGTCCACGCCGGATACATGATGTCCAGATAGTCTGGCGTCTAAAAACAAAACATGTTTAATTCACAAACGCTTCAGCCTCTTCAAACGACAAACACTGGCGAGACACTGACCTTACTGAACGAGAAGACGGGCAGAATCGGTTGCACCCAGTTGGGCACCTGAGGGTAATCTCTCACATTCACCACCATCTCCACGTCAGGCAGCCTGTCCACAACCTCCAGGATGAAATGCTCCACTCCACTGCACCTGCAGAACACAGGAAACCACATTTAGGCAAGTTTTCACCTTAATAAAACCCTAAAACACAGTATTTATGTAAATAAACAGACGCTTTTCATGCACCTTGCAGGGAACATGCAGTTGTGCTCTCGGTACAGCTTGTGTTCGATGACCTGGTAGTGGGTGCCCACACCTTTAAGAACCGTGGTTTCCATGACATTCTGAGAGATTCCCCTTTCAAAGGGTTTCAGGTCATGATGGAGGACACTGAGATACAAGTTAGGAGAATAAAAAAAGAAGAAAACACACCACATATTATATATATTTCCCTTATTTATAAATACATTCAATTGATGTTACTCACTCAAGATGGCAGCTGCAGTTAACAGGGTTGCATGTTGTGTATCCTTTGACAGCTTCTGAGATCTTTTGCTGTATTTCCTTCCACGTGTTATCTAAAAAATAGTAAATAAATACAGAATGTTGTCAGTTTCCTCTTGAACTTTTGTATTCTTGTTTCCCTCAGTCAACCACATGCTATAAAACATTACAATATTTAAAGATATGCTAATATTGATCATTTCTACACTTTGAACTGGTTTCAAGAGATAAATATGAGCAGAGACAAAGAGAAGCACAGATAATATATGTTAATAGTAGATATAGAAACTCTAATTATTCTACATGTAAAAACATTTAAAAATGCTAACTCCTTTTCTAGACCAACATAAATAGTTTGAATGAAAAGTAACTTAAAATCGAGAGATCTCAATGTATTAAATGTATTCAGAAGCTTCCCACATCTTAAATAAACGCCACAAAGCAATACAGGTTAATTAATATTAATTAACAGTGTAAATACTTGCAGCAAACTTAACAACAAAGTTGCTCCCACAGCTAGCTTCCAGCCAGCTAGCTGCTATGCTAACCGATCGATGACTCCGTCATCAAAAGTTATCGCGAGGCGCCGCAACGAGATTAAGCGAGACCGTAAAAACCTTTTGACTCTTTACGGAAACTTTAAATCCGTCTTACCGGCCGAACAGAAGCCACGAACATGAAGCAGCAACAGAAAGAGCCAAAGAAAGCAGCGCTCCATGTCGCGCTGTCCTCCAGCTCCCGAACAAAGCAGCGATCTGCGCTCTGTTAGCGCTGCTTGAGCACGGTCACCATGGTAACGCGCACCGGAAGAAGGACGCGTTAAAGGGACATACCCGCATTTTTCACTGCGCCATGGATATGGAGGGTCAGAAGTGACAAAATAAAAGAAATACATTATGAAGACATTTATTTTAGCTTTGATTTATTTTTAATCCATTAAATCCTTTGAATTGATCTAAAGATATAAATACAATCTATTATTATTCAATCACACAATCATTAAATAAACAAATTTAAAGGTTTTCTCTTGTTTATTTTTTACCGTTCTTTCATAAAATAGTTTTGTTAACTTCACAATAAGGAATCCTGATAAATGTTGATACATGTTTTCCTTCTGTTAAATGTATGAGAACATCACTGTCAAATTATTAACGCAATATGTATGTCAGGTGAATCTTCTGTAAATGAGTTCAGTCCAATCAGCTTTCTAGTGAGGATGGGGAAAAGGAAATCCTCCTGAGATCTGGACTGGAATGAGGCGAGGAAGAGGAGGAGACAGAGGACGAAAAGAGAAGAAGAGCTGGAGCAACAGAGAAGTGAAAATATTAACTGTTTTTATTTAACCAAACGTCGTCCAGCAATGAAGCACATCCTGCTGGCCGTTCTTTGGTCCGGCCTCAGCCTCCCACTGGTTCTGCACTGCAGGGCTGAGGAAGGTCTGGAGTTTCCCAACTTTGACGGAAAGGACCGGGTTCTGGACATTAACGAGCGCAACTACAAGAAGGCCCTGAAGAGGTACGACCTGCTGTGCCTGTTCTTCCATGAGCCGGTGCCCAACAACAAGGGCCTGCAGAAACGCTTCCAGATGACGGAGCTGGTGCTGGAGGTGAGGATTCATCTCATTCACTGTTTTATTTATAATTATTGTGACAGGACTAGATGTGATTTATTCACATTTTGGTTCAGCAAAAACAGCTGAATCAAAATTTGACTTTATTCTTGTGTTTGTCTGCTTCAGTGTAACCTGAAGAAATTGTTTTCATATTGTCAACTTTATTAATTCACTACAGTTTTTTCTTTTTTTTACTTAAACACATAATGTATCTCTGGTGGACTGAACGCATTCAGTTGTTGTTTCTGGGTCAATTTGTTAATTATAATTGTTCTTAAAACCATTTGAAAATTCACAAATTCTCATGATTAAAATAAAATTAAGATAAAACAATCTAAGTTGTTTGTAGATTTTAGTTTTCTTTATTCATCCCAAAAGAAATCCTGTAGCAAGCCTGTCATCCAGCGGCTCTAAAGAAGCCTCCGACTGATGACTTTCTGAGTTCTTTGGGAATTGATGCCTAAAACGTTCTTGATTTTATGAAGAATCCTTCTTTGTGTAATTATCTCCAGATTAGCAGAGCCAAAACAGAACCAGCTTTCTTTTTCATCAGGCTGGTTCAACTAATTTAGTCTAAAACACGTCTGATCTCAGTGATATCACTAGCATTAGCATTGCTAACCTATTAGCATAATAGCTTTCAAACCTTTGGGTAAAGTTTAATGAGATTTTTATGATTTGGAAAAGTTTCTTTTGCCTGATTTTATTTTGTTACTTATGAGTATTACCATTTTTTTATATCTTAAAATCCAAAAATTTCCACTTCTGATGATGTAATTTTTAAATATAAAATGAAAATTTGCTGTACTTCAGCAAACTTTTTACCAAACACTTTTCTAATCTTACCTGAGTCCGAGTATGTTCTTTATTTTTACTTTTACTTGAGTAAAATTTGTGACACGTTTATAGCTGCAGCTAACTTTGCCAGCCATCTTGGATTTTGAGGTTTTACTTTTCATATAACGTTCCAACTTCTACCTCCAGATTTCCAAAATGAGCATAACAGCATAAAGAGACAGGATCTTAAACTCTGTTGAAATGCAGATATTTCCATCTCATTTATTTGCCGATTTCTTGGTTTTTGATCCGACTCTCCAGCTCACAGCTCAAGTCCTGGAGAATAAAGACATCGGTTTTGGAATGGTGGACTCCCACAAAGACGCCAAAGTAGCAACAAACTGGGTACGGCTTAGCATCTGACACTGACGATAATGATTATCATTGATTATGTGGCTAAATAATCCCTCTGGTCCCCATCAGGTCTGCAGGAAGTGGGAAGTGTTTATGTGTTTAAGGATGACCGCGTCATCGAGTTCGACGGGGAGCTTTCAGCAGACACCTTAGTGGAGTTTCTATTGGATGTAAGTGGGAAAATACGGCATTTATCTCACGATTAGTCCAAAGTTTGGTCTTCCATGAAAACAAAACTTTGTTCATTGGGATATTATAAGCATAAACACGTAAATAACTGTTGGATTTTCAGGAATTGATGCTATTTCTTAATTAGGCTCCAGACAGAATCTGGCATCATGATGCTGCCACCACCATGTCGAGTATTCAGACCACATTTAGACTGAAAAACTGTCACGTTTTGCTTAAGGTTCTGGAGGACCCGGTGGAGATCATCAACAGCGCCATGGAGCTGCGGGCCTTCGAGAGGATGGAGGAGGACATCCGCCTCATCGGCTACTTCAGAGGAGAGGACTCACGTCAGTCCGTCCAAACTCTGAGATAGTTCACCTTTTAAATGACGTCTTCAAAGCTGCAGCGTGTAACTTTTACTAGTTCAAACTGTCACCATGTTATGATGAAAAACAACCAATCAGAGCTAGGAGGCGGGGCTTAATGCTGCCAATCAACATTTTGTTAAATGTGTTAATGGTGGAGAAACAACAGGAAAACTGTTATCCTAATTAGTCTTAGCATTCACAACAGGCGTTGTGGACTGGCACGCACATGAGCGTGAGTGACAGCGCTAAGACCCGCCTCCTACTTCTGGTTGGTTGTTTCTAGTTAGCACTGGGAGGAAGAGGAGGAGCTTGATTTTTTATGTTACATTAACTTGAGTAACTTTAATGGAAACAATAACTCCTGGTAGTATTTTTACTATGTTGTACGTTTTTACTTCTGAGTAATTTTTTTGATAAAATATTTCTACTCTAACTTTACACGTTGAAGTACTGCTAGTACAATTTTTGGGTACTTTAAATGGTGGCAGATTTAATCAAGATATTTATATTTTTTTATATTTTGTATAAAAGTGACATCCTGCAGCTTGAATGGGTTAAAAAAAGTCTCATTGGTGCCTCTGAGATGCTAATGGGACCCAGAGGCTAATGATGCTACATCACCATGACGCCTGTTAGAGAGAAACCTGATTCCAGACACTCAGGAGACGCTTTTAATAGCACCCAGCTTTCATGAAGTAGGTCAAACTGCAATTATATTGAAAAAAAAATAAAAAGAGAGAGAGAAATTATCCCGGCACAGATTTTTTTAAATCCCCAAATTTAGAAAACTGAGCAAAGATGAAGCGGTCTGCTACTTTCTTCTTTTAATTGTGCTTCTATTATTTATTCTTATCTCGTTAATATTCTGTTACTTGTTTTGTCAGACTACAAAGCTTTTCAGGAAGCTTCAGAGAGATTTCAACCTTACATCAAGTTCTTTGCAACATTCGATAAATCTGTAAGTAATAACTGCCTTTTTTTCCATCTGTGAAGTTTTACAATTAATTGTTTGATCAGATTTTTTTTGTTGCAATGAAATGTTTCAGATTTACAAATTAAAACTGAGACAAAATAGCAAGAGTAAACAGAGTAAATATTGTTTTTACAGTAGGATGACCCTGAATAAAAAGACATTATTGACCTTTAACATATTATATGCGCATCAGAAGAACTTCTCGTGGTTTTACATCGACAGCATTACGTTGCTCTAGGTTGCCAAACATCTCTCCCTAAAGATGAATGAAGTGAATTTCTACGAGCCGTTCATGGAGGAGCCCGCCATCTTGCCCGGCAGACCTCTGTCTGAGTGGACATCGTTGAGTTTGTCAACCAACACAGGAGGTAAGTTCTGCAGAGGTCAGAGTTCAGATGAAGTGAAGCGTGACTGAGTGTTATCGCTGCAGGGCTACACTGAGGAAGCTGGGGCAGAGAATATGTTTGAGATCTGGGTGAGCAATGAAACGTTTGGTATTTAGAGTAACTTTCTTTTCAATTCTAGGAACCTCAGTTGATTTTTTACTTCTGTTCTCTAGGAGGACGATATGGATGGGATACATATTGTTGCCTTCGCTGAGGAGGAAGATCCAGGTCCGTATTCATCTATTCAAAGATTTGTATCGATTCAAACTGCACAGGGTTGTGGGAAAAAGTATCAATCCCTGGTAGCTGTGTTTCCTTCGACCAAATGATTTCATCAATTTAAATTACGATGATATCTTTGCTTAATGAAAACACCAATTTTAAAATAGTTTTTTTGATGTCATCTGTATCAAAATTTGTGTAATTTGGAAAACTGCACAGGATATACTTTGTTTGTGTAATGTGATGAACAACGGCATGTTACTACTGGCAGAAACGATGAAGAAGAGAACAGGAAACGGTTGTAATAATCACGGCGCATCGTGTTTTAATTACTTATTGTGAAAAAAAGGTGATTTAAATTATGTTTTGTATTTTATAAAAACACTACAATTGTGAAATTATGTTTTTTGGAATCACATTACAAAGGAATTTTTAAGGCTTCGGGACTCATCAAAGTCCAAACTTATTTGCAACACAAGAATCCTAAACATGCCAGTTACGTTTAAAAATCCTCTAATATGGACCAATTAAAACATTTCTGCAATGAAGAGTGAAACAAAATTCCTCCACAGTGAGGCAAAGTTTGTGTATTTTCCCTGAATATTTTAGTAAATGTTTTTAGCAGTTGTGTATCTTTGTCCTTGCAACATGAGATTCATTTCTTCAGATGGTTACGAGTTCCTGGATCCTGAAAGACGTGGCGAGAGAGAACACCAATAACCCGAATCTGAGTATCGTCTGGATCGATCCCGACAACTTCCCTCTGGTTCTGCCTCACCATCACTTTTCCTCTCCTCCACAAAAACCCTAAAGTACGTGAAATAAAACAACCTGACGTGTGTCGTCCTACAGCTGACCACTACTGGGAAAAAACCTTCAAGTTGGATCTGTTCAGGCCCCAGATCGGCGTGGTCAACGTCACAGACGTAAGCAACGGCCGATTAGAACGACTGAAAATGTTGACGTTTAGTAAGGCGGTATGGAATCTGTTGCAGGCGGACAGCGTTTGGTTGGACATGTCCAACGACGAGGACCTGCCCACGGCGGAGGACCTGGAGGACTGGATCGAGGACGTCCTGTCCGGCAGGGTGAACACCGAAGACGACGACGAATTCGCCGACGAGCGGGAAGACGAGATCTACGCCACAGAAGACGGCGAAGGAAACCCGACGACGAGAACGACGGAGATGATGGAGACTATTAGCCTGCAAGAGTTAAAGTTTGGGTCCAATCGCTAAAGAAACATTTAAGGTAGTGGCTTTACTAAATATGTAGATGGTAGACGTCTGAAGATGTAGTTCTTCTTCTGATTAATTCCTCTTTGCAACTTAGAGGAGAAAAATGGTGCAACAAATGAAAACGAGTTTTAGAAGAATAAAAGAAATGATGATACAGAGCCTGTGTATTTTATTATCTAACCAATAAATGTCATTCTTAAATGAAGGAGATTTAATGAATTTATACCACCTAGCAGACACACTTCAAATTGAGCCCCATTTAGTCTGATTCCCGTAAGTAAAAACCGAAACACCCAATCTGTTTCACAAAATCATCATTAATCAATCGACTACAATCAGATGAAACTCTTAATAGTTCCTTGGAAACGACCCAAAAAAACCCCTTCTATTTTCTTGATGAGCTAACGTTCATTTGTTAGCTCTAAAACCACAAATGAACGTTTAGTTAACTCTTAAGCTACTCCTGAGTTAGCTATTAGCACTGAAACTCAGATTAACATCTTCTGACTTATTTCTATGTTTAAATAGTTTTGGATCAATTAAGAACCTGTGACAAGATTATGCTGAAATAATGAAGAAACAATATTTTATCCAATGTTAGCTAACAAGGGCTTAATTGAAGTGCATGCCACACTTTTCAGATTTCCCCCCTCCCTGTACTTTACATTGTATTTGTCAAGCACATAAAATAATTTCTGAAGTGTGTTTGTCGTTTTTCAAACACACAGATTAGTCCTAATCGAAGCAAAATGAATCTCTTCCTCTTTCAGTGAACATTTTCATGCTGAATTATTCAAACAGTGGTAAATAATTCAGCCCTTTAATGGTGGTGGACACCTGGACTCTGAGGCCCCCGGGGGCCGAAACTTCATGAGAGCCACAGATAAAATAAATAAAAATCTCCACATGAATAAAAGATGCAAAGCTACTCAAGAATCATGACGCGAGATAAACAGGAGGCTATTTCTGAGAAGGCAAGTAAACATGTCACACTCTCTCTAGAGGAAACTGAGGCAGAGGTCAGAGGTCATAAAATCTAAATCTGACGTTTGTGGGGATTAAAAGAATTGAGGAGTCGCTTTTCGCTCCAACCCAAAGCCGGCGGATTTTCCTGTTTCGATTCAATCGTCGCATAACCAGCTGATGGGAGACGGAAACGAGGGAAGGCAGCTTTCCATTTAGATGCAAATTCTCCAATCAGAGCCCAGATTCGCTTAGCCTTGCGGCTCTGATGGGCCGCTCCACGACGACGAGAAAACCACTGAAAAAAACAAAGAAGAGGATGTGTGGTCCAGTCGTCTCACCCAGCGAAGCGCGATGGTTAACGAACAACGACAGGCGGAGAGTTGGCGAGCCAGACAGGAAGTAAACCCTTATGGAAACAATGATTAGCTAAACAATGGCCTGTGATGTCACGCTCTCCAGAACTCTGCTGCCACCGATGTTAAAACAACCAATGCGACTTTTAAAGCCAGTATAAAAATAGAGAATAATTGATTTTACTAGTTAATTTCTCTTTAAAAATAGTCACAGATTCTCAGTTCCTGTTCTCAGCTGATAGGAGTGGCAGCCGGTCAGGTCATCTGCTGCTGTGGCCTTTTCCTCTGTTATCTATCGACTTCTAATAAGTGATGAAACTTAGAGAGCGGCCTTCATGAAAAGGTGCGGCCTTTTGGGGTCAGGACATTCGAGCACCACTCTGCCACACGTCGTTCAAAACAGCCCAACACACAGTTTAAATGTTGAATTTCCAGCTACATCAAATAAAACTGGCAGAAGCGAAGATGCAATCCTAAATAACAAGCAGCATCACAGCAGTTTTACAAATGCTCATAAAAAGTGTTTTATTATCATCAATATTTCTTCTTCTGCTTTTACAATTTATTTTATTTTACAAATAATAATGTTGTGCAACCGAAAAATACCTGAAAATTGATAGTCAGAAGACTGACGGTGGACAGAAAGGGCCATAACCAGGCAACAGAGGGACAGATGGAACGAAAAAGGCAGGAGACACACACACCTACACACAGATGTGTGTGTTTACACAAATACAGTGTAAAAACAGGAGGCACCGTCATGTTACGATCAGAAGGTAAACCATACAGATTTTGTTTCGTTTTTGTTCAGCTTTATACACACGTGCCAATCCTGGTGTGACCACCAGGGGGCAGTAGAGGCCACAATGATAACTGACCTCTGTGATTTGTGTCACTTTGCAGAGTGCAGCAGGCACAGAAAGACAAACAGGAGGGATTTTTAGCTTAAATAGGAGTATTTCGTTATCATAAAAAAAAAAGAAAAAAAAAGAAGAAGCAGAAATCTGCCTGAATCCTCCTTAAAGGGACTGACCTCGAAGGATTGGATGTTCATGAGACGCCAGGCGGTAGAAGGAAAACCAGACGGTCCAGTTGGGACGGCGGTTCCACCCTGCTGATCCGCCGATTCCTGTTTCAATACAACGAAGTGATAAGAAGCGCTGACATAGAAATCACTGCTGAGCTCAGAGGCTGCATGAAAACCTTTCACCTCTGTGGAAATGTGATCGCACCTCTGAGTTAAAACAAAAATACAATTAAATCTGGAAAGTGTGGCGTATTGTTTTTGTTTTTAATCTCATAGATGAAAAACCTGAATTTGTTTTCCAACATTAGAATTTTATTATGATGAGAATTTTGACATTAAACTCAAAATTTTGAGAAAAAAAAAAAAAAATTCTGGGATTAAATTCATAATTTTGTTGGAATGGCTCAGTCAAAGTCCAGAATGACTCAAACTGAAGCTCTCCATTGAAAACTGAGCTAATCTCCAAATCAGAATGTGCAAAACTTTCAGTTTGTGGAAGGATAAGGGTGAGGGTGTGGAAAATAAGTGCATGCCACACTTTTCAGATGCTGTTGTTTATCACAGCAAATCCCAATAAAATGTTCTGGTTTGTAGTTTTAACTGGACAAAACGTTACAGGAGCAAGAAGGCTGCTCCGTTTTGCCCCAGTTTTCATTCACAATAGAAACCAGTTCTTTATAAAACCGCTTTTAATGTGTAAAAAATATGAAGATCTGTCATTTAAAGTCTGGAAACTTTTTCGTGGAAGGGGCAAAGCAGATGTAGAACTGACAGAACGTGCTGCTACGTGACGCTCTCAGAAATCAGTAGTTATTTTTTGATTTCAGAACTCGCAGCTCGATGCGGCAGACACAAAAGCCCTGAGAGGTTCACTGAACCTTTGTGGAAGAGTTCATGTCTTTGGGCGCCAGTTCGTTTTGACTTCCTGGTTAACCAAACCGCCGCCGCCGATGGTGATGATGATGATGAACCTGGAAAACTGCAGATCAAATCCGAAACTGTTTAAGACTGTTTTTCAGCTCTGAGTCTCTGCTGGGAACTTTGCAGTGAATTTTTTCAGACTCGTTTGGTTTCGGTTTCTGAACAAAGAAACATCAAACATGACAAAAGGTGCCGCAAACGTTTACATTAACTAGGATTTTATGTGGTAAACCAAATGAAGGAGGACATGACTGTGAACAGAAAGGAAAACATTAAGATTTTTAAAAGAGAAAAATCTGAAAAGTGTGGTGTGCTTTTATTTTCAGCCCCTTTTACTGATCCTCTGTTTTAGGTGTCTATTTTTCAGAATTAAATATCTGTATGAGTTTCCATTTGTGCCCTATTTATGTTGGTTTGTCAAATAAAATCCCAAGTTTGCGGCTGCAATATGAAAAAGTTAAAGGGGCAGTATCATGTAAAATAAACTTTTCCTAGCCTTACATCATGTCATGATGTTATTTTCTCATAACAATTTCATGCAGAAATCCTAAAACCATGCAGCTGTGCAAAATGTCTGGTTGGACCTAGCTCCGCCTTCGATGCAAAGCTCCTCCCCCACTCAGCTCCTTCAGACTAGCCAGCAGCAGTTAGCAAACATCTGGTGAAACTGCTGAGCTCTTTATCGGAGCCACTTCTCAGCGAAAACGCTGATGAAAACGCTTCTAAAGGGTTAATAAAGGAGAAATGTTGTGATGACTTCCTGAAGGCGGAGTTTCAGAAACACCAGTAGCTTCTTAAAGATATAGATGCCAAATTTCTAAGAGTTAAATTACAAAGTCCAACTTCTCTTACAACATATTTGATATGTAAAGCATTTTTACAACAACCAAAGGAGACATTGTTGCCTGATTGTGCTATAAAATGGTTCCATGTTCCTGGAAATACATCATACTGCCCCTTTAATACGATTGAAAGGGACCGTATAATCATACATACAGTATTGTGCACAACCTAATCTCGATCAAACCCGTGAACGAAATCCTGCAACAATTCTTCTTTTCACCAAGTCAAACATTAAGATAGCATTAATTTCAGACATGTGATATATAAATTCATTTTTATATATATATATTAAAAACAAAGAAAAGTACATATAAAAAACTTCAAACCCTAATTAGCAACATTTGAAAGCAATTTGACATGGTGAGGAATAAAAAAACACAACTGAAAAGTAGCTGTTGTCCTAAACCGAGGTTTCAGACTGTAGTCGCAGGACAAACTTGTGAGATTTGGGGTCGATGTATTCCTCCGACATCTGGACGTAAGGGATCTTCCTGGCCGTCACCACCAGGCTGAAGTCCACACACTTGAGTAAGAAGACGCTTCCGTCCTTCAGGCCGCTGGTGACCGACGCCTCGCTGATCAGCGTCCAGCGGCGGCCCAGCCAGTGGTCCTTACCGTACTGCAGGGTGGGCCCCGGCGACAGGTAGCTCTCCAGGAACGCCTGGATGGAAAACGGCACAAAGCAGGAGCAATGAAAACATTGATACTGACTGGATGCATCAGCTGTTATCTGACGATAACTAGCTGCTAGCCATAAAACGCTAAATTATAAATAAAAAAGGGACAGAATGTTTTGCTATTGATTGGCAACACTACAGCAACTAAATAACAAGGAAATGTTTTAATTCAGAAAAAAAAATAGCGAGGGTTCAGGAAGTAGCTCAGTTAAGCTAGCTTGACTTTGAGAACTTGACATGTAAATGTGCTGTTGAATTCTGTGTTTGAGTTCAGTTAGAAAATTAAATAAAGCAACTTGAACACGCCAACTGTGACAGATCGTCAGTAGAGCAGGAGCTTCAGTTAGCTAACCGCTCCGATAGGTTAGTTAGATAATAGCATCGGTAGCTAATCTAACACAAGAATCACTTATTAATGATTAAAAAATAAACATCAAGCCTGAAAACTTAAAACACAACATTGCATCCTTTCTTTAGATTCTTTGTGTAATTTCCCTGCCAGTGTGATGCATGATGCAGTGATATCTATTCCTGATTGGACCCTCAGAACCTCAGGCGCTGACCTTCGGCGTCAGGTTGTTGGTGATGCAGAAGGCCAGGTGCTGCTGGATGCTCTCCATGCTGTGGCAGTGCTGCTGCTTGGTGGTCCTCAGGTACTTCTGCAAGGCGCGCGCCATGGAGGGGAAGATGGCCTGAGCCGCCTCTCGGGGGTCCATCACGTCCCCCGGGGCCTTCTTCGGCTCCTCCTCCTGCATGCGCTTGATGTGGGTGAAGGCCTCCTCTACTGCCACCACCAGTCTGGGAGGAAGCACAGCAAACAAATGAGGCTGCACTTTTCTCCTCTGATTCAAATCAGGTATTTAAAACCCTAAGCTATATAAAAATACCTGCATTAAATTTCAGACAGAAAGATGAGAGAAAATATGTTTCTTCCTTCATTTTTGACGCATAACTTAAATTTCCATGGCTTCCAAACTCACCGCGCTCTGCGTTTGCGGACGCGCCTCTCGTGCTCGGCCTCTTCGTAGTAGAGCTCGTTGTGGCTGGTGTCTCGGCGCCGAGCTGCGGCCGCGATCATGGCTCTGGACTGGGACTGCGCGATTCCCGCTGAGGCGTTGTTCCCCGGACCTGAAATCAGCAGAAATCAACAGACTTGAAGAGAAGTCAAAGAAAAAGCTCGTCAGACATTGTAAAAATCACTTAAAGTCTCTTGGGTGCTTAGAAACGACATTTAATCAAGCAGAGATTATGGTCTCTCTCAAAACGCAGCAGAAAGAGAAGCAGAGGAAGCCTCTGAGCAGCTGCTGCACAATAAAATGAAGAACAGCGACACTCCAGGGAGGAACAATCCAGCTCGTGACTTAAGGTGGAAGACAAACGGCTAACTTGAGCGACTAAAGTAAGCGCCTGAATGAATCTTGAGCACTCAACAATTTAATCGAGGGGTTGTGTTACATTCCTGCCAGCTGACACCAGCGTGAAACTTTTCCCACAACTTGTGGCATGCAGACAGAAGAGAACTGTGTGTTTTAGCCAGTGACTCGAATCAGCAGCAGAAACATCTTCACATACTTACTGTCCCACAGGTAGGCTTTCAGTCTAGCCTCAAAGACGTCTCAAAGGGGTTAGCGTCGGGGCAAATGAGGAGAAATAAAGTCATATGAAGGAGATCAACTCAGCCTGCTGGCAGTTTTTCACATTAACTACAAATCATCCGGGCTTCATGCAACTGTCCACAATTTTACAATTATGTTGCAGTAAGAGATCAATTTCTGCCTTCCAGCATCAAATGTCCTGTAATGAGTTAATAAGCTGCTGGGTTGAAAAGGCGATCGTTAATATATATTTTTTATTTTGTCAAAAACTGAGTTTATCACAGAAGATCCCGGCAACACTGTTCAACGTGGGAGTTGCTACTGAGGGAAGAAAACAGCATAAATGTGTTAAAAATAAAGCAGAGGCGTCAACTCAAGATCATGAATGTTCTTAAAGGGCCAGAATGTATTGATAAAACAATTAAAATATAAATTAATTCTCAATTAAATGATACTGGACATATTCTCAGTCACTCCAGGATTTCACGGTTGTTTTTGTAATTTAATTTTCTGTATAAAAAAGTGTGTGGTAGCAATTTAGACATATTTATGTATGATAGTAAATGTGACTTTTTATCATTTGATGTAAAGTGAGGCAGAGGAAGCTGTTCAGTAGAAATATTGCCACCTTAATAATTCACAAGAAACTGGAGGAGCTGATTGATGTAATTTGGCAGCAAAAATAAAAATAGCTTTGAATTGAGTGATAAAATAATATTTAAACATGTTGCTATCTTGGCGGTTCTATTTATGTGTCTTTAGAGTCGAGAGGGAGACGTTTGACTTTTTATTCTCATAATTTTTACTCATTTCCTCAGATTTCTTTCTCACAATTTTGTCTTTTTTCTCAAAATTTTGACTTTTTTTCCTCAGAATTTTGATCTTATAAACCTCCTAGCGGGCCAGATTTGGCCCACTGGCCTTGAGTTTGACACTGATGAGTATTAGAAAAAGCCCAAATCCGCAGCAGACATGCAGGAAGCTCACCGTCCACGTTGTAGACCTTGAGGCCGGCCAGATGCTTGGCCGCCCGGGACTTGGAGGCGGAAAGCAGAGCCGGGTTGTGGATGGGGAAGTCGCAGTAGTAGTGCTCTATGATGGCCAGGGCGGCCCGCTGAATACTGGAGGAAACAAGGGGAAGCAGAATCAGAGGCGTTGTCGCCCAAAGCTGCTCTGGACTGATGGAGAAACAGAAAAACTCGCCACAAGATGTTTTCCTTTCAGCGTAAGGAAAACATCCTGCTACCTGCTGTAGGTTTTAAATGTTCCTGAGGAAGACGGAATAACAGATGGAGGAGATTTTTGGCTGACTTTCAAATATTTATGACTCAAAAGAAGCATTTCTTGAGGATAACAAGCACCACCCACACAAAGCAGAGAAAGAAGAGAGAGATTAGCTTCTTATGCAGGAAAGAAAAACTCATTAGAAAGTATTCACTTTTTCAACCTTTTCACATTTAATCAGTGAAAAAATAAAGAACACAAAATTGAGCATAATTCCTACACTGAAAAAAAAAATATTGTCTAATAATGAGACAAAACTAACTTAGAAGTAACTTTCCAGCAAGATATATTCACTTGTTTTAAGTAAATTCTTAATATGGATAAAAAACTGCTAGATTTATTAGTAGATTATTTCACTTTTAAAAAGGCAAAACTGTTTTGTTATAAAAGAAATAATTGAACTAGAATTAATGACTTAAAACAAGCAAATATAACTTGCTGAAAGTAATTTGTAAGTTAGTTTTGTTTTATTTTAAGTGTACAAAAATATTTGCAATAGAAACAAAACAAAAATAAAATGTTTTCAGTGTAGGTGGTTGTCAAATAATTTGCAATCTTTGATATTTTTACTAAAAAGTGTGTTTATCCACAAATATGGACTTAGAAGAAAAACTAAATCTAAATATGCTTTTATTTATTTTAAAATGTTGATGTGTAATAGCTGCATTCAGCAAATTGTAATGTTTGAGTTGTTGATTTTTGTGTTTTTATCATGTAAAGCACTTTAAACCGCTGAAACCTGCTTTACAAATCAACTTGACTGATATTTACCTCACTATTGAAGTGAGAATAAAGACTAAAATAAAAAGGCGTGTATCAAATATTTAATTTGTGGTTGCAACATGATAAAACCTGGACGTGTTCAGAGTGGATTAATGCTGCTGCAGCACCAAAATTAACGGCTTTGTGAGGAATTCCCCCAGAGCAGCACCATGTTTGTCACATTTCAAACCGATTCCTGTATTTTCTCTAGATTTATTTCATGGAGGTCGCCGTCGCAGCACTTCCTGTCACAACGCAGGCTGGCGACAGCTGAGCTGTAGTTCAGAAAGTCACCAACTTTTCAAAAATAACAAGCTGTTCTTCTAAGATTTGACTGGAATTAGTTGTGAATCAACTTTCTGCCCAGATGACAGGATGACCCTCCATGTTTTCAAAGGTGAAACGTGATGAGAGGAGAAACGAGTCGGCAGCTGCAGCTTGCATCGGCATCGCTGCGTGCCGCGTCTTGTCTTTCACAGCCCAGGACTATTAAAGCCACTGTACACAAGCAGGCTGTTTTCACATGCTATTTTCCATAAATCATCTGCTCTTATAATGTAATAAGCTGCCTCGTGTTCCAGGAAGAGCCATTCATCACCTCAAACTGGAAACACCAGCAGCTTATAATTAGGAGCTAAACGTAGAAAATTCTGAATAGTTCAACACAAGCATTGTTGCTTTGAATGTTTTAGTTTTTGTCATAGTAAAAGTTAGCTCCATTAAGCTAAAGCACAAATATGAAACATACGTTATGCTAATGCTAAAGCGCTAGCTTTAAGATTATATTAGATATTGTATAAATGTTTATACAATATGTTTTCTACAGTCTGTTTTATTTGGTCCT